CAGCACCCCCAAAGCCAATGGCGTGCGGCCGCTTCATGCAAATGAAGCAGGCCGCCCTCTGATTGGCCTTGTGAATAGCTCTGTGTCAATCATTTCGGCGCGGGAGCCGCTCAAAGGAGAGAAGGAGGAGGAGGAGAAGGAGGAGAGGGGGGCACATCTGTCCGCGTGCCATTCGCGCACAGTCTTCTCTGGTCTGCGCAAAGCACGTGCCAAAACCTGCAGATTACAGCCTGGAAACCAGAAAGTATTTAACATCAAGCCCGAGAACCTGGGAACGTTATGTTGGAATAGAATAGAATAGAATAGAATAGACCTATTTTTTACATGTCATTTAGGATAAGAAAGGTGTAAGAAAGATACTTAGGCTGCAGTATGAAAAAACCGTGGGCTACAGTAATCACATAGCCTAATAATTATGTCGCTAATTAAACGAAATCATTTTACTTTTTCAGGATAACATTGAAGATGAAAGACGGCTGCAGCCTGATACCTAATAACATTTCAACATGTTGATTTGGTTTATGCGTTTGCGTCAGTGCATCCTGCAGAAACTATTCTCTTTTTAAGGGAGGCATTAGATGCATGTGTAACCACCAAAACAGTGGCATTTGATGGTCGACGCCCCCTTTCTATTAAATTTGTTAGTGCGTGGCGTGCATGCGCGCGTGTGTACGAGACGGCGTTTGAAGGAAAACGGCCCCATCTAGTGACTCATTCGCAAACCAAACTGTCATGTGAGATCACCGGTCATTTAGCAAAGTAAATCAGCGCAGGTTTAAGCTTTGATAAATACATTTAAATATAACCAACATGCTCATAAGCCGTTTTTATAGAAGTAGGTCTATGGTGTTTCTGGTTGTTCTACATGACAAAGGCTATAATGATTCTCCCGTGGTCTGTGCTCTGCCATTCCTTCCCTTATTTGCAGCATTATATTTCTTAACAGTTTGAGGAATTCCAAAGCATTTTATGTTGTCTATAAACGAGTCATGGGAGACCGACAGTAGATGAATCCTAGGAAGACAAGAGAAAGCCTTCTTTAAGTCTCGTTGTATTAAAATGACCACAAGGTGGCATATCTGTGTCCACATTTATGGAGAAAACAGGTAATAAAGCAGTAATAAAATGAAGCTAAATGCAAACACTGTTTTGCTATGAATATCTACACTACCAATCAATCAGTTTGGAGACACTTTCCCATCGATTTGAATTGAAGATGTGTCTCCAAGGTGAAGACATCAGACCACTGAACTGAATGGGAAGGTGTCTCCAAACCTTTGACTGGCAATAGTGCTCCTAATCCGTGTTATTATGAGCTTTATACTTAGGCTATATCTTAGTATATAATGGTTATTAATTAAGACACAAATCAGATGGTTCACGTTTTTATATTAACCTAAAAGGTACAGTTAATAAAAGAAAAGGAAAGGAGAAAAATGGAAGGTTGTTAAGAAGGAAAAGTGATGAAGAAACCACAGAATGAAAGCGAAACATTGAATATAAAATATATGTTTATAAATACATGTATTCTAACAATTATATCATTGCATTGTATCATTCATATTTATTACATACATCACTTTGCATACACCCTGTAGGATTTGCACTGCAGCTGCCTATATATGCACAATATATGGAAATAAATTGTAAGCATGTACCTTAGAAAATGTCTAACTTAATCCAGTTCCACATCTCTAGGATTACTCATAAACTAATGAGACAAATGAAAACTAGTGACTTCAGGTGAAGCAGAAACAACCCAACAGCAACACGCTTTGGAAAACGGTTATCAGTGACAAAGACAACAATAATGCACATCATGCACAAACACTGATGCATAAACTATATTAAAGAATAAAAGTAAGATTGCGAAGTTGCTGAAACATTTTCAGAAACATAGTGGTGGTCATCCTTTGTAAATCTGACACAAACATTTGTGAGTGAACAGCAGATTTCCACATCAAATCAATGAGTGAACTGCAACAATAGCAGCATTACAACAACTCAGGAGGCACAGAAGTCATCTTAAAACTAATGACAAAGTCTGTGACAGTCTTTTGGTCAGCAGTCTATTCAAATGGGCCAAATGTAATAAAATTTTGTTAAGCTGTGCTTCAGTTCAGTCTATAGCCAAGTATCAGTCTTTGTTCAGTGGCTCATGTCCCCCCATGGATGAACTGTGCTGAGGCATGCTGTTTACCCAGGATCCTGAGTCTCGAGGGCCAGCTGTGTGTGCTTGGGCTCACATTGCTTTTATTTGCTTTCCGATTGGCCCAAATGATGCAGATCTAATTCTACAGAGCTCCACACAGATTACACACCACCAGCAGTTGATGGGATTTTGCTTTAATAATTCTGTATAGGTGGAACAGCACCTGTTGAACCTGATCTAAAGTCAGCACCACAAAGCTTGACAACTCTCGGTCTTCAAATCCTGTCCATTAATAATTCCCTCTTGCCATTCCTGCATTTCAAAGATGTGGGCTCAGACAACAAAGAGAACAAGAATTCCCCTTCAATTGAAAGAAACTTTTTGAGTGACTCCGTCATTAGAGCACCATTAAAGCTGATACAGACATTACTGACCTGAGGAATGTAGCCAACAGAAATCACTGCTGTTTTTAAGAGATGATCAACATTCACCACACATGAGCCAAAAGTACTTGCTTTTTGACTTAGCTTTATGAGGTAGAGGTCTGCAGGAGGAAATGTCGGGAAGATGAAAGGGCCCAAAAGGCGGGGCAAGCTGTGTTTGCAGATTTAGCAGAGTTCAGCGGTCTGTTGTCCAGAATCAGTGAATGCTCAGCAGCTCCTTTTGACTGCTGCCTGCTTAATTTGTTGTTGTACAATGAGCCTGCGCTCTTCTCCAAATCCATGTGCAGAATGCAGAGGGAGAGTCAATTATATCTGTATTAGCTGGTGTTGGCTGGGCAATCCCTTTATACACATTCCCCAATCAAGTGCTATAGATGTGTTTACCACAATAAATCCCCAACTCAGAACAGTCACAATGTCTATATGGGTGGCTTTCGCTTCATTCCAGATGCTGTGGCCATTTTTAAAAGGAAAAGTGACAAAACAGGATGCAAGGAAGCCTGTAAAGACTTCGCTTTGGTGCATAAATATCATTAAAAACTGTACTTGTTGGGTGCAATTTGATCCTTTATGTGTGACACCAAGTGGTGAGATGTCAGAAAGGACATTTATTGAGCTGTACTTAAGTATTAATGTATATGTTAGTATTCCATTTTATGGTGATTTATACTTTTCTCCACAATAATTTAATGGAAACTATTGTAATTTTCACTGCACTACAGTTTTACCTTCTTGTTAAGATTGTGGATTTTAAAATATTATCAAATTTTCACCACCACTGACTACAGCAGCAAAATGATGCTTGCATATTAGTGTAATAATGTTCCGATAATATAATTTATAATTGTTAAAGCTGTTGCCATGGATTTTAGAAATACCGATGTTTAAGAACCTTCACTCCATATGAAATTGTTCTAATTACGTGGATATTTTGTATTTTATTTGTGAAGTTCAGTTATTATTTTGTGTATGACTGTAATGTCACAGCATTAGATGCTACTTAAAGTCTAAGTTCAGAAATGCTGATCACGTTTATAAAATGTATTCAGCCGTCTAAAACTAGTCAAATTTAAGTATGCTGAGTCTAAAAATACTGGAATCAGTGTATAACATCACCATCATATGTCAGTTTTTAGTCTTACAACAAATTTCCAGAGAATATACAAAGGAAATCACCTCAGTGTTACATCCATGTACAACACTTACTTGCGTGACTGCATTTTGCTGGTGAGCAACAATTTTCAATGCAGGACTTTGACATATAATGTTTTGGCATTACAGCTTTTAATTTAGTAAAGGATCTGAATACTTCCTCCACCACCAGCGACACAGTCCCGATACACAATGATGATCAATGATGGAGCAATTTGATGTTCTGTTTCCAAATCAGAGATGACAGCAGGACCAGTACTAGCTAGCACTGTGAGGTATCTGAAACAAGTCAGAATCCAAGCACCAGGAGATCTAAGCTTCTGAGAGGACACCTGCTGCATTCACCTCCCACTTTAAATCAAGGGATTTGCAGAAAAAAACAGGGTTGATGGTTCATTAAAGAATCTAATTAAACAAAATATTGAAGAATTAATGTTAGCCCATATTTGTGTAAAATACGTGCTTTTTCCTCACACACATTGGCAAAGGATCTGAAGAAATGTTCCCCTGCTAAGGCAAGATAT